GCCGGGGGTCGTTTCACCGGTTGATCGGTGTAACCGGGGATCGTTTCACCGGTTGGTCGGTGTAGCCGGGGATCGTTTCACCGGTTGGTCGGTGTAGCCGGGGATCGTTTCACCGGTTGATCGTTTCACCGGGGATCGTTTCACCGATTGATCGGTGTAACCGGGGATCGTTTCATCGGTGTAACCGGGGATCGTTTCATCGGTGTAACCGGGGATCGTTTCATCGGTGTAACCGGGGATCGTTTCACCGGTTCATCGGTGTAACCGGGGATCGTTTCACCGGTTCATCGGTGTAGCCGGGGATCGTTTCACCGGTTGATCGGTGTACCCGGGGATTGTTTCATCGGTTGATCGGTGCAACCGGGGACCGTTTCACCGGTTGATCGATCTGATCGTTCACCGTTTCGGAGCGGTTAAACGGTGACGGTGAAGCGATCATTGATCGTCACCGTTGCATACCTACATTCGATGTTTGATTGCATTCTACGATAAGAATCATAGGATGTGCTTAAATTCAGAAAAAAACTCACAACATCCATAGTGACGATAGTGTATGGGAACTCTATAAATTCCAATTAATTAAAACGAAAAGAAGCACTACTACAGTTTAGCGCACTCCACAAATGTCAGTTCAGTAAATTGAAATAGTGAAACGTAATATCTACCGAGCTCTATAAATAATACCTAGTTTTCAAAATATAACTGAAATTAACAGTAGTATTACAACTGTTATCAGTAATTTTGTTGATAATTTGAAAACAAAAATTAGAGACTTAAGATTCTATTCAATTTGAATAAATGCAATTTAAAAAATAACTGAGATCGAAATTAAGAGATTTTAAGTATCGATTTTATGTTCGCAAATGAGAAGACGCCATATCATACATATTCCGAAAGGCACAACTTAACTGCATCGACTTCTCATAGAAAACCAGTCTCAGTGTTTTTTGAAAAACGGGTTTTCTGACGTGAAATATCCTTAACGAATTTAAGAATGATCATTACAAAAGCGAAGAATATAAAGTATCTCTCGGCACAAAATATATAATCATCGAAATTTTTGTTAATATCTTACCAGACCTATCCCAACTATTGTATCAGAAAGTGAATGTCGCTACTAACATGTTGACATTAGATTTAATTCTAGCCAAGAGTAATCGGGAATACTATCTTCAATCACCTCGTTTCTATATATCTGCATCGTTTATGAATTTCTCTGCGACTTTTCACCCAACTGTTTTTCTTCACACTTCCCAAAATTTGGCATGTAACTTCTGGGTTCTAGGTCCGACATGCAGTGATGGTGTGAAAAATGGAAATGAAACGGATATCGATTGCGGTGATACATGTGTTGCTGAAGGCAAATTATGCCCAGACAACGAAGGATGCCTCTCTAATTCTGATTGTCAAAGTGGCGTGTGCACCGCGAATATTTGCATTAGTAAGTATCGAAGCCTGGAGGAAACGAAACGGCTCATGCTAGCCTTAGAGTTCCGATATTCTGCGACATTTCGAAAAATAAAGATCGAATTTAATTGGAACTATGAGTGTAAAACTTCGTTCGCCCACACTCCTGTTCGTGTGGAAATTCATCCATTTGATTAGAGAGAATTGTTTTTTTTAATCAATCTTTAAATATATTTTTTGAATCATTACAGATTCACGATAGTTCTCTATTCGGAAAGGATGATTTTTGGAATAATTTAATGTACTCTGATTTCTTCATCTTCTGACTATGAAAAAAAAAATTTAATGCAAATAGAATGGTGGTAGAGGAAAGACTGACACGACTGTCTGCGTTCGGATTTCGGCGTGAGTGTGAACATTTATTCAACTTACAGTGGCGGCCAAAATTGAGCGTCCACTTCTATAGACTAACCTCGTTTTTCGTATAGTTTTAAAATTAAACGAGGTACTATTTTCTGCATTTATGCAGTATGTAGACCATTGATTGTTCTAATCGTGGGGAAATTTTCAGATCGAAATTATATGTTGTTCGAGTTTTATTTAAAACGAAAGAAAAAGAAAGAGTTTTCTTATTAGACAAAATTGAGCGTCCACGTATAGATGAGCTACATTTTTCAGAAAGAATAACGCATTTTCAGTTCATCAATAACGAGTAGGGTATCCTTTCTGTTTGATGCATTCGTAAAGCCGATTTGGCATTGAGTCGACCAACTTTTCTGTAACGTCACGACCAATCCCATTCCATTCTTCCAACAGGACTCTTTGGAGCTCAGATTTGCTCGTTAGTTGTCGTTTCTTTACTCGACGATCAAGCTCATCCCATAGATGTTCTATGGGATTCATATCTGGACTGAAGGAAGCCCAAGGCAATAGTTCGATTTTGTTTTTCTTCAGCCATGCCTTCGCCAAGCCTGAAGTATGCTTGGGATCATTGTCTTGCTGAAAGATGAACTGACGCCCAAGACGCAGATGTTTTGCAGATTGAATTAAATTTTTGTCGAGAATATCAACGTAGTAATGCATATCCATATTGCGATCGAGAAACACCAAATTACCAACACCAGATCGGCAGAAACATCCCCAAACCGTAACCGAACCACCACCATACTTCACAGTCGGTACCGTGCATTTTGGATCAAACTCTTCTTTCTTACTTCTCCAAACCATTACTTTACCATCACTGCCAAACAAGTTGAACTTAGATTCATCACTCCAAAGAATAGTGTCCCAAAAATTCAGCGGCTTGGCAGACATCGTTTTTGCAAATTTAAGACGCTTTAATCGATTACGTTTATTAACATATGGTCGCTTTCGAGCAACACGACCAAATAGTCCATATTCATTAGCTCGTCGTTTGATTGTACGTTCAGATATGTGTACACCTAGCTCTTGTTCGAGTTCTGTCTTCACGATACGTGCTGGTTTCCTTCGACCACATTTCAGTTTGCGTTCTATAAGTCGATCCACACGAATTGTTGTTTTTCGTTTTCTTCCACGACCTGCCAAATTGCTCAAACACTTTGTTGCTTTGTACTTTTTGATCATTTTTTGGACAGAAGTTCTTGGAAGAAGCATGTCAGTAGCAATCTGACGTTGAGAATCACCTTTCAAAAATGTTTGGATCACTTTTTGCCGCATATCAATGGAATATTCATGTCTTCGAGGAGCCATTTCAAAATAAACCACGACGTTCGGAATGAATTTTAAAGGAATAATAAATCAACGTGTAGACGAATCCAGGAATATATACACACTTTAGTAAGGAAAGAAAATGTTTGTTTACTGTAACGCACGCGCTAAACATTGTTAGATTTGTACATGGACGCTCAATTTTGTCTAATAAGAAAACTCTTTCTTTTTCTTTCGTTTTAAATAAAACTCGAACAACATATAATTTCGATCTGAAAATTTCCCCACGATTAGAACAATCAATGGTCTACATACTGCATAAATGCAGAAAATAGTACCCCGTTTAATTTTAAAACTATACGAAAAACGAGGTTAGTCTATAGAAGTGGACGCTCAATTTTGGCCGCCACTGTATATTCAAACACGCAACCAAGCTCATACCCATATCCATACCCATAACCGTGAACTCTTTCAAAGCTTGAAAGTTATGAAACGATGTCTTGCCTTTACTACCAATTATTTAATGAAGCATTTACAAGTTTTGTCTTTCAAGTCTATGATATTATATATTTAATTTTAGCACCGATCAGTTGTTTCATAGCTGGTACACCGATTCTACTTGCCGACGGTAAGTCTACAATAGCTGTAGAACAGGCAAGAATAAATATGACATTGTTCGGTGTTAACGGTGAAATAAACAGAGTCATTGCTCTACGATCACAAGTTCTCAATGGTCGTTCTCTTTATGGCATGAATGGAGAGCGTCCATTTGTGACACCTGATCATCCATTTATGTCACCATACAACAGCTCTGTTCGACTTGTATTCGATGCCAAATATGTGCGTCATGGACGGCCAGATCTAAAACCTGACACTATTCAACAAATTGAAGTGGGCACAAAGCTAGTCCGCTACAATTCTACAAGTGGACAATTTGATATTGTGAGAGTGAATTCAATCGTTACAGACGAGTACCCATCGGTGAACACCAGTATCTATCATTTTGTTACGGACTCACCAAGTGGGGTACTAGGTAAGTGATTCGAAGATATTTTAGTGCTCTGCTAACTAGAAACAATGAAATTAATTAAGGACTATTACTGGACTACTACGACACTTTCGTTTTCTTTCCTCATGAAAATAAAGCCTTTTAACTCTTTTTATCTTTTTTGTACAAAAGCAAAGAAAACAAAAGTTCTAAAGTGAGATAGATGCTAATTTTCAAAAGGTTTCTTACACTAATTACTTGTTTATTAAGTGAAGTTCTAAAAGAGAAACTTTACGTTTTCAATTCTTTTCGTAATATGCGGCTCATCTGTCTTTTGCCGTATTTTTTATTCACCGTACCATTTCTTATTTTCTTTATTTGAGTCACTTTATTTGACATCATCTAATCAAATTTTTAAGTTGCCAGATTGTCTGCTGTATGATTTTCAATCGATCTGAACCCATTTCTGCATAAAAGAGTGTGAGGTATAACTAGAGCTCGTCGGATAGGACCCGACCCCGGACCCGAGCGAATCCGAGTCCGGGTGCAGGTCCAAAAATCTTCCTAATCAAACAAAACTGTAAAAAAGGCGTAGTCACACGTAAAAGTGACGGCTATTTACGTTTTCCAAAATAAATTTCTTTCGAGCTAATATGCCGAGTCTGAACTCAACTAGCTTCACAAGGTTTTTTTATTTGTAAAAATAAAAATCGGTTTTCACCGCTTTTTCAGCGTCAAAAATGCACATGTTAACGCGTTAAAATATATCCTTGTCTGACTGCATTGGACCCGACGGACTCTACCGGTCGATTCATATTTAAAACGTTTTTGACCAGGTCCCAGTCCAGGTTCGGATCCAAAAGTCTTGGACCCAACGATCTATAGGTATAACTGTGAGGAAAGAAAATTTTGATTGGAAAATTTCAGTTTTTTAGAGTACCGATTTCTTTTTAATTGAATCATTTGAAGATGTAGCGACAAGCAGAAGTCTTCTTTGAACCTATTGGTAGTTCATCGAGTTTTCCCCAAAATGTGTTTTAAGAATTTCGAAATATCATGACGCGTTTCTTATTTTATAATTTATCTACGAATAGTTACTAAAGTCATTAAGGACAAGAAAATGCTTCAGTTTGTTCACCGAAATACAATGAAAAGGTAAGTCGTATGAAAGAGATTTCATCACAATATACCGGGTGTGGGAGAAAGGAAAATAAAAATATCTCTGTTCATCGACTAAGATTCGGTAATGATGACAACATAATATTGTTACACGATCTTGCTCTGTATTTCAATTTTGCCTTGAATATTTTATATTAGGAGTCTTAGCCTACAACTACCTTACCATCAACGAATGGTACGATTTTGGTGATCATTCAGGCGCTATTTTCTTTCAAATTAAGATCGCAACACCAATCATAGCCACGTTAACCAATCGATATTCTAACTATCTTAACAGAACTGGACTTAATATAACCACACGAAATTACAACAATCTGGTGGCGGAGGCAGTAGCAGAGCATGCATATACAGCTCTCTTAACACGTGCCGGCTCATTGTATCCTCCCGTCAACAATGTATCATTCCGAATGGCCTGGAAAGCTCTCGCTGTGCCTGCCTCAGAGGTCTTCGAGAATAATCTACGAGGTTCCGGCTTCAACACAGTCTTAAAAACGAATCTTATTGAACGCTCTAGTTGGCTGAATTACCTTGATCCAAGTACCGACGGATTGGTTCTCATCGAGACGGCGAAAAATGACACGCTAACTTGGTGGCTCTCAACTACTGAACTTTGAGTTAATGAAATCGATGATTAACTTCTATGATAGCTACCATTCGTCAATAAACTGAATTCATAAAAATTTTTAGACGATAAAAGCATTGAACAACTCCTAAAGGGTGGGTCTGGGGTGGGTCTGGGGTGGGTCTGGGGTGGGAGTGGTTTTGTAGATGTGTGCTTGTGGGTGCAAGATGGATGAGCGTGCATTCAGCATAATGGCATCATGAAAAAACAAAACCGCACCCACACCCTGTCCCATCTCACGTGGAGCCCTGATTTACATATATTAATTATGGATGGAAAAGTTGAACATATTCGAATACAATCCTTAGGAAAAATAAAAATAAATCGAAATGCAACAAAACTTCATTGAAAAAATAATAATTTAAATCATTCGAATATTGTTAATGTCACTGATGAACCATTTATTAAGGCCCCCCCCCTCCGAGAATCAATTTTTTTAAAAAAATTCAATTTTCGAGATAAACCTATGGTTGTTACCTCTAAGGTGTCTAGTTTTAAAATTCATGAAAGTCACTTCCAATTTCGAAAGGCTTCTTAAGA